CTTGCCTCCTAACTCTCCATTTACATGTAAAATCAAACTTAAAATATACTCTTTCTAACATTCGTTGTCAGCAAGAAACTATTTTTAAGTGGAATGATGATAGCATTTTTCACATTAAACACAGATCCTGGAATTTCACAAAAAATGGAATATTACTCAGCCAGGGCAGGGTTAGCGGAAAAAATGAGTATCAAGACTTGTCATGTAGAGGTACAAGATCCCAACAATAAATGTAACTGTACTGTATCCCTAAAATGTACCAATCAACTCATAAAGCTGGATTAAAACTTGGAAACAGCCCATTTGCCCATCAGTTGGAGACTGGATGAAGAAGATGCGGTTTTTCCATAAAATGGAATATTACTCAGCCAGGGCAGGGTTAGCGGAAAAAATGAGTATCAAGACTTGTCATGTAGAGGTACAAGATCCCAACAATAAATGTAACTGTACTGTATCCCTAAAATGTACCAATCAACTCAATTAAAGCTGGAAAAAAATTAAAAATTAAAAAATAGATGTTGATGCCCCAGAAAGGCTTTAGTTGTGGTACTGTTACCCTTCTGTGGTGAGATTGGACTAAAGGAAGCAATCACTCTTTTGTGATTGCTGATAATATACTAGCTACCCAGCCACTGTGTTCTCACACAAGTCTATGTGCGGCCTGAATTGATACCCTTCCATGGAGGCCAGTGGGAAACTTATTTACAAGATGATTATGAGAGGCTAGACAGGTAGTCTTCATAACTGCTCTGCCACTTTATTAGACAGAGGCTGTCAAAAGTCCGCTTCCTTTGTCCTTCTAATTTTACCAAGGCTGAAGGGAAAAAGTAAACAAGTTTTCAGTGAAACTAGTTAAGTCATTTCAAAGCTTTTAAAAATAAAACAAAACAGGCTGGCAGTCATGCATGTTTATCGTGTGTAAGGTCCTGGGTTCAATCTCAGCCCCACATATAAAAGTGGGTAACATTTTACAGCTGGGGTACAGCTCAGTCATAAACATGCTGGAATAGCAGGGGCAAGGCCTCGGTTCAGTCCCCCACACCACAAAAAACAACCAGTCATCACAAACACACACACTCTCACACATTCACGTCCATCCATAAACCAGTGTTGAATATAATATGGAAAACATTTGCTTTCATATACTCTTAGTGGAAGGTGATGTAATACAAGTACAACATGTCTTTAGGACAGCTAGACAATGTATAAATATATGTAAATATATAGAATTTGGCCTGGTAATGTAAATTTGAGTAATAATTCTATACTGAGACTTAATCTTCATGAGACGTATAAATGTGTAAGTGTTAATTATGATATGCTTATAGCAGTATGATATTAGAGAAGACATAATTTTAACAGGTTATATCAATTATGGTATGATATGCTTATAATAGATAATAGAACACACATTTTCACAGGCTATATACATTGTGGTAAACCCATGTAAAGAATTGCTATACAGTTACTTTTTCAAAAGAGGCATGTCTATCGGAAAGATACCTATGGTGTATATAAGAAGAAAATCTATTCAAAGGATACAGAGTATGATTCTACTTAAGTGGATAAAGTATGTGCAAATATCTGGAAAATCTAAAGGGAGAAAGATAGAGGAGAAAATGTTAATATGTGAAATTATTAACAGTGAATGGATGGGTGTATATAAAATTATTTGAATTATCTTTGCTTTCTGCTTTTCTATAACATGTATTGCTCTTATAATGAGTTATTTTTAGGTAAGCAGATAAATGATTAAGACCCTTTTCTTTATTTAGGGAATGATTCTTCAGCCAAAAACAAGAGATAAAAATAAAGTAATTGTGCCTTTAGACATGGTGATTAAAAATCACAGGTCTGGGGTTACAGTCTATATCTAATGTCCCCTCAAAGCCTCATGCACTCACAGGTGGGGTTTTGGGGAGGTGACGGGACCATGGGGCTGTGATACTCATCAGTGGATTAGTTCACTAATGAGTTTATAGCTAAATGATTTGGGAGGTTGGAGGAGCTGAGTCAATGGGCACACGGCTTGGAGGATGCACCTTCT